AGTTAACTCCAGCACGAGCTTTGGGGCTAGGTACGTTCTTTGCGCTGAAGCTGGTGTGGGACCTGCAGGGAAAACGGGCAGGTATTTCCAGGATGGGAGCGCAAATGCAAGCGTGGTTAAATCGCCGTGATCCTCGCAGCAGCAGTAGTCAGGGCAGTGCTGCCTTCAGCTCCTCCGTGTTCGGAGCTCCTCGTGCACGTGCAGTGTGTTTGGGTTGTGATCTCCATGCAGAACGTGGCCCGGGAGGGCTCTGTCGTGGCCTGGTGGGGCAGGGGCAGCCGCACTCGAGCTGCAGGGCTGCAACGGGGCTGGGATCACTCGTGGGCGAGCGGATCGCCTACGAGATCAGCGTTCAGGAGGCCCTGTCGGTGTACGGCTCCGACTGCCCCGGCGGGATGTCAACGCGGTACATGGATGGGAGCTTCGGCATCGGGCGCTTCAGTTCTCCCTTAGTGCGAGGTGTCGACTGCCCCTACTTGGACACCCATGTGGACATGGACGTTCTGTTTGACGATGCGAGTCCCTGCAAATAAAAGGAGCAATCTGCATCTTTGAGCAGAACCCGGGCTCCGCTCTGAGGTGCTACTACTCCAACTTGCAGTCCCTCCACTATGGGGGACTGGTCAACTCTGATCTGGTCGTTCGGTCCATTGCGACCGTGGCCAACTACGACTACGTGTGGGACTTCATCTTCTACCAGAATGGGGCCATCGAAGGCAAAGTCCAGGCCACGGGGTACATGAGCTCGTCGTTCCTTCATGGGGACGGTCTGAGATACGGCAACAGGGTGTGGGAGCACACACTGGGCACCATACACACCCACTCCATCAACTACAAGGTGGACTTGGATGTGGGAGGTAGGTCTGGGTCTCCTCTTCCTTTGTGCGTGTCATTACATTGATAAGCCACAGAGCTGCAGGAAGGGATTGGGCTCCTGTCTGTGGCATTCTCACCATTGGGAGAAGCGGGACGGTTGCCGGTTCCTGTGTGCACAGCCCGGAACAGCCTGTGATGCCGTCGACAGCAGCTCCTGCTCTGCCTCTTTCTCCCCTTGCACGACTGGACCCTGCGCCCAACAAGCCCCGTCCCAGCTCCCTTGGTCCAGACACCTCCGAGGCTCCGCAGAAACCGGGATTTTCCTCTCTTCACCCTCCTTATCCTCTTTGACACCTGGATGTCCTGAGCACCAAAGAACCATCCGTACTGACCCGGCTGCTTCGCTGGAGTGGATGCGATTTCCAGCTCACGTTCCTGGTTCTTCTTACAGCTTTTTCCAATTGTCCAAAGCAATTCTGGCTGGTGTAGGGATGGGACGGCCAGCTGTGCTATTCCTAGAGCTCCAGGCGGAGCAGGACGATCCGGGCGGGCGGCCAGCGCTGAGCTCAGCCGCGCGGCGCTTTGCCGGGACACGGAGCATCCTTCACTCGCAGCGGCTGCTTGGATCCGCGCTAGGATCTACCTGCTGCACCTCTGCCCCGAACGTGCTCCATCCTCTCCCTCCTGCTGGCATAGCATCTGCCGTGTGCCTTTGGGATGTATTTAAATATTTCCCAATTCTTTTGTTGGGAAACACAAATTTAAAGGCTGTTCTATGTGGTTTGGGGGTGTTTCAAGTACTTGGATGAGGACAGAGGATTGCAACACTGGAACAATATGGAAAAGGAAGGCAAAATATCACTGTTATCAGTGAACAGGAAGGTGTGAGGTTAGGCGTTCTGCTCACTTCATAAAAGGGAAGCAAGCAAGAACCATGGCGATTGCTGGGTGTGGATATTTTTCTGTGGATCTCTGGCTTCTGACCTCCCTTGGAGCACATTCAGGCGGGTCCTGGCTCAGGACTCCAGTGCTGCTCTGTGTCGCACAAGCAAGTCCCAAGGGCCTGGTGAAACCTTCTGGGATGGGTAGAGGTTCAGCTCCGAAATGGCTTTTACACAAACTGCTGCTCCACGAGGAGGGCCCGAGGGTGCCACGCGCCAGACTGGGAGCTTGCAGCAATCCCTCCTGCTCCCCGGGTGCTCCCAACGGCCCCGGCCCATCTTATCCCAGACTTATATCCCCTTGTGCTTCTCCAGGCGGCCTGGTCTGTGGAAAGACCTGAACTGCAGCGATTGACTCAAGTTCTGTGATGCGCAAACGTGCTCGGAGCCTGCGCACTTGGCAGTGCTCCCCGGTGTGTGGGCCGCTCGCTGCCGAGCACAGCGACAGCCCTTGGGCTCATGGGTGCTTGGGTTAATTGGGCGTGGGCCAGCGAACTCGTTCTCCTGCCCTGGGATGGCACTTCCAGCTTTGGATCCTCACAGGCAGTAACGCGTGGCCCGGCCCGGGCTCACACAAACCTGAAAGCAGCACTCGGACCTGGGCTGCGCAAGGGAAGGGGAGCACAAACCCCGGCGAGGAGCGGGGGGCGGCAGGGAAGCTC